ATAGTTGTTGCAGTGAACACTGAACAGTGCTCAGGATGATCTGTAGTCACTAGACTTACGAAGTCATCATCCTTTAATGAAGTTACGTGGAGAGCTGTGACCTCACAGCACAATATTGATGGGGCATTGACTTGTCCCTAGTTACCCAACACTATGAGGCAGACCCTGGAGGTCCCCGTGACATGCCCACAGTCAGAATCTCCATCTCATGTGCTCAGTAAGAGCTCTCAGCATCATGCGTGACTCAGCTTCATGTGTCATGTAACCTTGCCTCAGAGAAAAATGTTTAATTTGTTCCTTCTAGAAACATCTGTATGGGCTTATAGTGTCATCCGCAAACACTCTGCTGATCACAGACTAAGTCGCCCTCATGGAGGTTCTCCAATCATTAGTGATCTGTGTTGAGTTCATGGAAGAATTTCACATTAAATCCATGAAGGATGGTCATTACAAAAAAGTAAAAGTTTCTTCATGTGCCAGCAAGCGTGGGCTGATAGTACAGGTGGTGACAGAGTGTGTGCCGAGCATGTGAAATGAAACACCTGTGCACAGTCAAGAAGCCCCCACCCGTGTTTATATAAGCACCCTAATTACACTCAACTACTCACAGAATGGACAAAGAAATAGGAAGGGGCTCTGGAGTGTGAGTGGCATTAGAGAGACAATGAGGATGAACACCATGCCCTGTATACCTTGTCACAAATAAAACAAGGGTCCTGTATCAAGCCCCCAAGAGAGATAAAATTTGAAATATGTGTATTTCAAAAATGATGTTATTACCTGAAATAACATCTATTCACAAATGCAGTACAAATAGTGAGTTAATGCTAAGTCTCTGTGTGGCGCATGTGACCTCCCAGTTTGAATGTGCATGCAGGGAACTCTTCCGCGCCAACCTAATGCCTGCCGAGAACACTGACAGATGACTCGGTGGCAGCAGGACAGATGGACTCTTTTGTTTTGGTAAAGGGAAACCTATAGCAGGAACTAAATTACCTTTAGAGAATCTAAATCCAGAGAGGCCTCTAAACATGACTCATCTCCTGTCTGAAGGCCAAAGAACGGTTGAAAAGGAGGTGCAAATGAGCAACTGAGTTCCAGGACAACACACAACATAGGGACAAGACAGGTTATGTTACTGTAAATGGATGTGAGTTTAAACATACTTAACCTTGGACCAAAGACATGTATAAGGATACTTGCCCCAGCCTGGTGACCTGGGTTCAGTTTTAAACGGAGGAAGAAGTTGCCCACGGATCTCCACATTGCTCAGTAATTGGTGTGCACCCCCACATGCTTCTTGCCTGTCATGCTTTGATGGGTCACATTTAGAAGAATAAATTTTGCAAAAAATAAATTATTTTTGTGCTCCAGATCATAAATCCAGAAACAATATGCATAGCAATCCAAGAAACCCCTTAAAACCTATAGGTATGTAGCTAATGTTTTTGTAATCATTCATTGACTGAATACATCTGTAGGAAAGAACCTGAGTTAAGATAAACTAGGTATATAGGATGCAAACACATGCTGTAAAATTCCCAGAGAATTGTTAATACTTTAAATAAGAACAAAAAATAAAAATTAAGTAAAATTCTAACAAAAAGAAGGCATATATAGAATATTAAGTGTCTTTGATTTGTCTTTTTCCATGGCAGTATGTAAGAACTTAGAATACTGGGCTCACTATGAGCCTCACAAATATTCTGAATATTCAAGGTTCCTCCCACATGCGGCCTCCATCACCGAGACACACAAGCTGCTGGAGGAATCATCTCTCACAGCTGAGCCTCAGAGGGTTGTGATATCCTGCCCTGTTCCGATCATGGGCAGAGCCTTAGCTACTTTCCCTTCCTCCTCCTTAGCTGGTGCATCTTGTGAAGCTCCTGAACCCTTCTCTGCACCCCACCTTATTTTTCTCACAGAGCTGACCACTATGACTTTCATCCATTTGACCCATCCTTCACATCCCCCTTAGCTGTCTGGCATAGGGATAGGGTGTTTTCCTCCCTTACAGGCTGCGCTTGAGCTACATGGATGGTTATACAACTGACTTGTATAACATGACTTGTAAAGCAGCACTGGCAAAGATGTGGAAGGCAATGTGGGAAGCCAGTCTCTCAGTAACGTCCTTATCTGCTCTCTCCTTTAAATGTCTTAGGGGTGGTGATTGTCTTTCTACCTTCCTGCATCTTCTGTAGGTCTAGACTGATTCTCTCCACAGTCTTTGGTAGAAACGGGAAGCCTTGGAAGCTGAATGTGTAATGGTTTTGAAGATTCAGTGACAATAGTCACTTGTTTTCACCTCCACCAGCAACAGCACAGACGGGGGTCACCAATATTTCCACAAGGCACCTGCTATTGGTGTTAGACACATCCCGGAAAAGAACTCAGCCTCAGAATTCTTTTCTTCTTAGTACCTGTCTTCCAGATATGCCTCCTCTGTAGCACATACTGGGAGGCGATCGCCATCTCTGAAATGACAGGTGACTCCGTGGGTAGCGCCTCCTCTCAGCACTGACACCTAGCTGGGAAATGTTCAGTCAGAGTGTGTGACTAGGAGACTGGGCTGCTTCCCAGTTAGTGGAACACTAATGCTTGGCGTGAACTCAGTGGGCTGATGAACACCAGAGGTGCAGGTGATGTAGGCTCAGATGGCACTGACGGAAAGGGGACACTGCGGAGGACGAGAGTGAATGATTGTTACAAGGTAGCAGGCTTTTTATTAAATATACATACCCTGGCCAACACTGAATCAGTTAGCACATCTGACTTTGTAAAGTAAATTATCCATAGTTTATTAAAACTCTGTGTAAGTACTGTCTTGCATTTTTCTGTAGTGAACATTGGCATTTTATGCCCTATGTAAATATATATATATATACAAATATCTCATAGTTTAGCCAATTTAGATATAAATCTAATATATCTACATATTATATATAGTGTGTATGTGTTTTATATGTGTGTGCTTGTTTGTGTGTAGATGTATATATATATATATAATATATATTGTGTGTATATATATATATTTGTGTGTATATATATATATTTGTGTGTGTGTGTGTGTGTGTGTGTGTGTGAGAGAGAGAGAGAGAGAGAGAGAGAGAGAGAGAGAGAGAGAGAGAGAGAGATCTGGCAGTTCATTTCCGGTGCCCTCCTCCCTCCCACTCCACAGTAAATGAAGCTTACAATTCAGCTGCAGTAAGCAGCAAACCCCAGGGAACCCATGTCTCCTGTTCCCCAGCATTGGCATTTAGAGACATGCACCACAATGCCTGACGTTCTGCATGGGTGCTGGAGATGCAAGCTGATGTTCTCCTGTTCATACAGAAAGGTCTTTAGAGCTGAGTCACCTCTAGAACCCCAAATGACGTGTTTTTGGTGTTATAGCTTCATTTTTAGTAACTCTTCTGTCTCTCATCTTACTAGAACGTTAAGTTCTCTATGTTCATTCCAGTTTAACTGAAAATAAAATTCAGTTTAGAACTGTTGTTATTGTTGTTATTTGCCTTAGACAAGCTAAGTAAAGATCCTGATGATAATGTATTTAAAATATGTCATTTGGACACGCTCACACAGTATATGTTCAGCAGCCATGTTCTTCCTCAGTCACTTGAACCAATGCCTTATGATTACAAATATTGCAGCTTGATTTTCTTGTGGTCAAGCTCTGGTTCTTTAAAAAATAATCAAAGATAATATAAAAATATGGGTAAGTTATAAAATTGCAATGTTTAGCTACTGGACTTTAAAATAACTGTTGAAAAATACAGACCAGAATGGGATAATTCAAATGACGCTTCAGGAAGGGACAGTTTTCTAATCCATCAGGGTGACCTTTCTCTTTTACTTAGATTTCCCTGGCATCATCAAAATACTGCAATTATTTAAAGTCAAGCATAAGCTAAGTTGCTACATGACAGCTGTGTACATAATTAGGGAGATGGCGTCATTGTCAAAAGTGAAAATAGCATTGTGTAAGTTGTGACAACATTGGCAGAGTGATGAAATTATTGCCAAAGTGATAATGACATTATCAGAGTGATGACATCATTGTCAGAGTGATGACATCACTGCCAGGATGGTGATGTTGGAGAATATTTCTGAAACTAAACCCCAATGTCACATGTGGGCTTCACGCCATTCAATTAGAACATGATGTTGATGCCAGGTTCCTTTCTCACCTCTGAACCTGTGCTGACCCAGGTGCTCCAACCGTGGCCATGGACTATCGGTCCAATTTTTGTCTCTGCATCTCAGTGAAGACTCTGAGGCTAACACAGTTCACAGTGCTTGTTCTGCAAGACAAGGTACCATCTCAGACCACAGATCTATACTGTAGAGTCTTAAATCAGACCAACTGGCTTGTCAGACTAGGACAATTTAATCCTAAAAGATTCTTTTATTTTTTGATTAATGGTTTAGTTAAAGTTCCTTTCTTTTCATTTAACAAATTGTACTTCACAAAGAAAAAAGATTCTGGGATGAAAGTTTCACAAGTCTAATGCATCAGAAAGCTCCCAGTATGCTTCCCCCTCACTGTTGTGAAGACCCCATGTGTAAGGACATGACAGGCAGGCAAACCCTGCCATGACCTACTCCAGGGAGCTTGTCTTATTATTACTGATATGAGTCCTTACTAAACTACCTGTGCTCCCTAGAACACTGGATTCAAGGATGTCCAGCCCCTTGATCTTCAGTACAAAGCAGAAGCTGCATGCACCTGTGTGGCCCTAAGGCAACCCTCCATTTCCTCCCCACACTGCTCCATGCAGCTCAGAAGTTAGCAAGCTGGCACAGTGGGTCTGTTATTAACTGTTTTCAAAGCAGATTCCTCATGACAATAAGGATTCTAGGTAGACTAGGGAGATGGGGCCATATTCTAAATCACTCAGCACAAATCATCCATAGAAGGAATTTAGTGAATACTCAAGGGTATTCCAACAATGTCTTACAGATACCGAATCTCACCTCTGTGTGTTTGTTTGTATTTCCAGTTCCTCCGAAAATATATGACATCTCAAATGACATGACCATCAATGAAGGGACCAATGTCACCCTCACTTGTCTGGCCACCGGGAAGCCAGAGCCTGCCATTTCCTGGAGGCATATCTCCCCATCAGGTGAGTGTTGGCCTGCAGCGTTGGTGGCTCAGAGAGTGAGTGAACCCTTTTCATTTCCCTCCTCCTTCATGAGATGGCACCTATAGACAGCGCGGCTCAAGGAAAGTGAAGGAATGAAACACCCAAGTCATCATAATAAGGCCTCTTGATTCCTAGGCAACGTTGTTTTCATTGTAACATTCTGGGTAATCACAAATCAATAGGAAAGGCTCGAATCGAATTATTATTACAGAAAAAAACCTGTTCATTTAACTGTGTGCGGGACTTATTCAACAGCATCACGTGTTGATAGCCAGCAGGCACGGCTGAGGTAATCAGGGGAGAGTGGAATTATACAGACTATGAGTTGCTAGGCCTGATTCCAAGCCACTGTGCAGAATCAAAGGTTTGGAAGTTAGAATTATCTTTATTTGATGAAGGGATCCAAAAGTCCTCACATGGAAGTGATTTATACACAGAGATCACGTAACTGGTGGCATGAGGTCTGTGGGATGTTTCTAGGTACCCATGGCTTCTACGACTACACTGTGCACATCATCCAGAAGACTTAGAGTCAATGTTAGCAAGTTAGTGACAGTCAATCGTCATGCAAATAGGCCCATGTCTGCATTTGGAATGCCAAAGCGTGAGTGTAGTTTGCGAGTCTGGAGTAATAGAGAAGCCCCGGGATCGCAAGGGCCCGGCCGTAGCTTTACCAAAAGACCCTGCTTCTAGGGAGGAGAAAGCCAGTGATAGAGCAGGCACTAAAAAATCTGCCTTTGGGTTCAGTGTGTACACATCCCTGTGCATACAGTCCCACCCCAAATAAATACAACAAAATAGAAAAATAGAAGTTTTCACCTGTAGCTTTGAGAATTTCTTGAAAGTGACAATATTATTTTATTGTCTAGAAACACAGCACATTTTTAGATTAATACAATTTTACTTCAGTTGTTTTCCTTTTATTTTGGGAAGAAAAAAAAAAACTTCCACAAAGCTGGCGCGAACAATGAGACTGCTCTTAATAAAACCAGGAAGGAACATTGTATGTAGGCGTAGAAAAGAGCACACTTGGAACATCTACTTCATCTGCTGATGCTTTATTTAACATCGCTCATTCCTTAAGTGTCTTCCAGTTGCCTCGTTTGTGCAGAGGGTCTAATGAGAATCACCCACACCGGGTGCTAAGTATTGCTGTTAATGGGAGATAAAAATCAATACACTGGTTTCACACACTTTTGCTGTGGGCATTAAGCTCCTGTAACAGTTCTGAAGTTCGAGTGTATCGTTGACTGACAACACCTCCCTTGACAGAGCCACAGAACGGACATGTGAATGTCGAACACATGTCAGGCTCTCTATAGGCTGGAAGTGGGCACAGAAACTGAGACCCTGCGTCGAATGCACCGCTTTCTAACCCGAAATGCTTACGCTTGCATTCATCCAGACTGGCTCTCCGCTGTCCTCAAGTGTTTCCTACTTCCCAACTCTATAACAATGATCCCTAGTTATTGTTTACGTCGACAAGAGTCGCGTGTATTTATCAGGTATGCGATAGCTTGAAGCATATGTGTTCTGGAACAGTTAGAACCAGCCGACTATTAAGTGTGTTGCCGTTGTTTTCATCACGAGAATCTCAGCATCCATTCCCTTTGCATTTTCCAAGAGCAAGATGTAACAGTACCAAGGCTGGAGGGACGGCTCATTGGCTAAAGGCTAGATGACCCAGGTTCAAATCCCAACACCCCCATGGCAGCTAGCAAATGTCTGTAACACCAAGAACTAACACCCTCACACAGATTTGCCTGCAGGCAAAACACCACTGCCCATAAAATTGAAAGGTAAATACATTTTAAAATAAGAAAGAAATATTGAAAAGAAGATGTCAGAACATTAATATGCTACAATATGCAGTAGATGTCTGTGTTTGTCCTCCCGTCTCACAGTACCCAACATTCTTTTTCCAGCTTAGCGCTCCAGATATGATGAGACTAAAGAGAAATAAGAGACATAAATGTGCCTTGAGAACTCTAAGGTGATATTCAAATGTACAAATGACTCTTAATCATCTCTCCATGGATAAAATCTGATGGCAATATGGGTTTTGTAAGAATGAAGTACACAATTTCTATCCACATATAATTTTAGATTAATATTTTGGACTTAATGCTCCCATTTCGCTGTGCTTGCTTGCTGCGCACATTTGCCTTTTCATACATCCTTAGATATATTTTAGTTTAATTAAATAACAAGAATGCCAGTTACTGAAGTTATTAGAATAAAGATTGCAGATAGCATCACAAACTGAAAGGAAGACAGATTGGGTTTATAAATTAAACAGCACAGATTCATTTTTCTGATCCTGGCATACCAAGAAAATGAGTAAAATTAGCATAAACATTAATAATTATCTATGAATAGCTGGACTCTGAGAATATTTTCATAAATTGAGAATTATAATGTGTTAAGAGTTCTATATTCCAATGCTGCTTCAGGAAGCATGCCTGATAATTCTATTATCTTATATATTTATACTTGAAAGCAAAAAGTGGACTTCACTTATCCATTTATTTTTTTTACCTGGAAAACATCAATGTCCTGCATTGTCTGCTGTTCTGCTTTGCTGTGTAACATGGGCTGAAATAGCTGCCAGCCATGACCAGCTCCGGGGCTCTCTGCAGAAGCCATGGCTGAGTTCTGTACACATGCAATGTACTTGTTTTGTTCTGTTTACTAGTTGTTGTTGTTGTTTTAATAATTCCCAGTGTCTCATCCGTGATTGATTTTATGGTTCCTCCCAGGTCTCAGGATGGTGGCTTCCTCTGGATCTTCCCTGATCAATAGTTGTGTATTGGTATGATCATGCCCCAGGCAGCCCTGAAAGCAGAAGGAGTGGCCACCCTCCTGTACCTCCATCTGCTATGTGCTTCACTGAGATTTTAGATCGATAAATTCCTAGTTCATTTATAACCATGGCTTCTTTCTCTGCAAGCTGCTCAGCCTATGCCCCATTTTGCTTTCTCTGGCGTGATAAACACTGTGACTGAAAGCAGCTCGGAAGAGAAAAGTGTTCATTTGGCTCAGCATCCCATCACCGAGGGACACCAGGGCAAGAACTCAAGTCAGGAACCAGGAGGTAGGAACTGAAGCAGAGACCACAAGGGAACTCTGCTTACTAGTTTGCTCCCCATCCAAGATTATTTTCTTATATATCCCAGGAACACCTGCTCAGGGGTGGTGCCACCCACAGGGGCTAAGAGTCCTTCCACATCAATCATCATTAAAGAAAATGCCCCATGGACTTGGCCACAGGCCAATCTGAGGAGGCAATTCCTCAGCTGATATTCCCTTTTCCTAGATGATTCTAGCTGTGTCGCGCTGACAAAAAGCTAACTTGAAACATATGAGAGCATTACACCCAGATCCACCCATCATAGGAAGAGCACATGGTACATCCAGGTACACTTAATGCACCCAGTATTGTAGCCCAACAGTGTGGCAGCCCTGGGCCTGTTCTGATACATTCCCATGAGAATATACACTACGTATCCACCTTCAAGGTACTTCCCCTGAGCCTGTATCATTTCTGCAGCATGGTATCCTCAAAGCTCCCAGTCTGAACTGCAATTAAGTCAGGGGATGTATATATTTCTATAATGTGATTTGAGAATATGTCTTGGTTTTCTATATATCTAGATCTTTCACTTTGTGGAGTTAAGTAAGTGGTTTATCCCAGAGCTGGGGCAGGACATAGACAAAAGCCCAGCCCTCTGCAATGCCATGTCCCACAGACATATGGCAGGCACATCATATAAGATCATAGACACACAGACACACCACTTAGTGATTAAGTTAAAAACAACTTGAACATCTAAATGATTAAACAGCAATGAATTATAAACAAACATGAACAATTTTTTAAAAGTTGCTAATCTACCAACAAAAGTATTTTTAATAAATAAGAAATTGAGTACCATGAGTTTCTTGTTGTCAGCTTACTATGAGGACTAACTGGTACAGGATACACGTGGGACACTGTTGATCTCCAATGGTAAAGTAATCGGCGAATCAGCTGTCCAGATGAGTTCCTCTGGAGTTCTAGTACAGCGCAGAATGTAAATGAGTTTGGGACAGGAAATGAAAAGTGCAGGAGAAGGGAGGGTTTAAGTGGGGTTGGGAGTCAAGGAGATAGGGAGAGGAGGAGGTGGGAGTAGGGCATCCAAAGTCAAGCATTTGCTTTTTCTTTTAGTAAAAATTAATTAATTAATTAAACTAAAGAGAAAGAAAGGTGTGTGAGCGAGATAAGGAAAGATAGAAAAGTGAGAGGGGAGAAGGAAGGAAGAAAGAAAGAGAAGGCTATAGAAGGAAAAAAATCGAAGTATAAAAAAGGAAGAAAACATAGAAAAGCATTTTATTTAGTTGATAGAACAGCCCTAAACAGAGTTCTCAGTGTGTGTGTGTGTGTGTGTGTGTGTGTGTGTGTGTGTGTGTGTGTGTAAGCATGTGTGGAATTACAAGCAAACACAGAAAACATGAGAAATAATTGCTGGTGCTATAGACAGTTGATGTGGATGATGTGACTGCTTCCTCCGCTCTTTGGCCAATTCCTTTCCTGGAAACTTTTCAGGACCACGCGATGCATGCAGCGAGGAGCTCAAGACTCAGCACTTTGCCTCATTAACACTGAGCTTGAGAGCCAGCACTTCCTCTGACCAACACTGGTTTTAAGGGCTAACTAGTGAACTTGTTTATGCTCCCAATATAAGATGTTGGTAACAGTTTACTCAAATCACAGTAGCCAGTTCAGAGCACACGACAGAGGCCATGACTTGAGGAAACATTCCACAGGGCTGAGAATAAACACACTACTGAAATGTACTTGTGTCTTGGGCCACACAGAATTCCCATCAGCTCCCTAAAATCGAGGAGCCAATTGGTGGCTCTTGGGTGTAATCCACACAGCTTCACCCAATGAGACTGCAAACTCAAAACTTACTTTTAGCTCTGGGAGGTGGGTCAAG